TATTTTGGTTGAAATTCTCTCTCTCTCTCTCTCTCTCTCCCCCTCTCTCCCCCCTTCCCCTCACCCCCTCCTGATTGGTCCCACAAGTTATAACAGGAAGAAGGCAAAGCTATGTTGATGGAAAGCACCAATACCCACAGGAAATTGGAATCATGGATCAGCATCTGTTGAACCCTTTGGAAGAGCCATTTCTCTCAGGTAGATAGATCTATACCAACTAATTGTCTCTGTTTGTTAGGTTTTTAGTTTCTGGGAGGACAGCTTGGTACCCTAGCATCTGAATTAGCAGGAGGGCTGAAGACTCACAGCAACTGATGTCAATGGGAGCTGTGCTCTGAACACAGGAAATGCCATAAAATGCTAGGTATTCTGAAAATTCAGGTCCTAATATCTTATAATAGAAATCCAGAATGTTCTTGACCTCAGTCTCTTACATATGCATATGTATATGTGTGTATATATATATATTATACACGTATATGTATAGGTATATGTATATGTATATGTAATACAGTGAACATGTTTCAAATCCTAGCAAACAGCAGATATTACCAAGATGTTGGCTGCTGCTTTGCTTCTATATAGAAAGTCACTAATATTGTTTGTGAGTGGGGGGTGCTTTGAGGTTTGTTCATATGTGCCTCAGTTTAGTTACCAGAGTTTCTGCAGAAACATATATCAACAGGGAGAATTAAGGCTTTGCCATTTGCCTTTTGATTACAGAGTAGTTTGAACATTATATCTGTCTCTGAAACAAAGGGATGTTACCACCTTCATCATAATTCTACTGCTTTGGTTGCAGGGGACATCTCTATTGTTTTCTGGTGGTTCACAACTTGTGGTGCCAGTGGTCCTCAAGGGCCAACTCAAGCACAGTGTGATAGTGCCTACCAGAACACCAATGTCTCTGTGACTGTGGAAAAAGAGGGTAAACTCCGAGGAGTACAAGTGTGGAAAGTGCCAGCAACAAACCGATACATGTGAGTACCTGTGTACAGTAGGCTCTGGAGAAATGGCCACCTAGCTACACACACTTACCCTAGCACTGGTATACAGTTTAGTGCAGCAAACTGTTGGGAGTAGCTGAGAGTAGGGTAAAGGTGAAGGGTAGCAAGAGTTACAGTGGAGGTTGATGGGTTAGAAATACTGGCTGTGAGGAATTGTGCTTAGAGTTATTGTTGAGGATGGATGTGTTGTGTATGAAGAAGCCAAAATCAGAGTCAAATTGAAGCTGTGATGATGTAAGAATGCTGACATCTAAACCAGCGTTTCCCAACCCTGGGTCATGACCAAAAGGAGGATTGCAGGGGCAATGCTGGTGGTGCCGCATAGAGCATGGGAGGTGCGCCCCATGCCGGGAGCTCCCCTGCCCCTGGGCCGCCACCACTGCCACGCTTCACTCCCAGGAGCGGGGTGCAGAAAAAAAAGGTTGAGAAACACTGATCTAAACTGAGGTTCTGAACTGGAGTACCTTTGGGCTGTCATTGTTTAGGAGTGCTGGGTGTTATGACCTCCCTTTGGGATTGTGATAGTGTAGGAATGTAACCCATAGGTCAGTATATGTTTTAAGTCTACCTCTGCGCCAGTGTACAGTATGATTTGTTAGAACCCACAGCTATAGGGCCTTGGTTATTTATTTCCAAGTGTAAGAGCTCATGCTTTTTGTTTGGCAAGTCCATACTTCATTCTTCAGGGTGTCAGCTCAAAAGTGTTCCCCACAGGAACACTGGGTGTTGGACCCTCAGAAACTGAGTCACTTTATACTCATGACAGTCCAGGACTCTGGCTGTGCACAGTTCACTGTGAGGATGTGGCTGCTCAGGAACAGGGGAGGGTTGGGAGCATACAGCTGGAGTCACTTTGGGTCTATGGCGTGTAGGATTTCTGTTTCTCTAACTTCTTTTCTTTTCTAGGATTTCTGCCTATGGAGCAGCTGGAGGAAAAGGAGCCAAAAACCACAATAAGAGATCGCATGGAGTCTTCATCTCAGCTACCTTCCAGCTGGAGAAAGATGAGCTCCTCTACATCTTAGTGGGGCAGCAGGGCGAAGATGCCTGCCCAGGGGTAAGGATGCACAAATACACTGGGAAAAACCACGCTGGCAATAAGCTGCAGACACCCTCAGTGGGTGGGTTGGGGCTTGGCTTTCCTATTGATGAGGGGCAGGAATCCCAGGCTGCAGTGATAAAAGCCAGATGGGGGATTAGGAAGAACCAGTGAGCTGAAGAATTTTCTCCAAACAAATATATGGAGGCCTGAAATGAGAAACCTCCCCAAAATGTACAAACAAATGCAAACCCACAGCAGCAGCTCTGCCTTAAGATCCTGGTGCCCATAAAAAGCTGCTTGTAAGCTTTCTTTTACCTTTCAGTTGCTTTAACAGGGCACTCACATCCAACTACTAATTAGGAGCTGGTAACATATTTTCCCATAATCTATATTTTATGAGGCCTGCCCAGACTTCTTTCTTTCCTATTATTTGTGGTTATGCCAGATATCCCACAACAGGAGAACAGGCCCATGGAGCTAGGCATGGATGGCAAGGGCTGATTTCCTCCCTGAAAATCTTAGAGTCTGAGGACTGGATCCAAAGCTTCTTAAAATCCATGTCAATATTGACATTAATACCTTTGGATCAGACCCTCTGTGAAGACCCAGAAATATCAGGAAAGAACAAAAATCAGTGATGTGCATCTGACAACTCCGGTAAAGTTCGCTCCAGAGTTCCTTGTCTGGATCCTTTCATGCTAGATCCCGTGGCTGTTAAGCTTCCCTTAACCTGTTAGGCTCCAGTCTTGTCTCTGCTATTGGCTTCTCCAGCACAGTTCCCGGGCACAGGCTCTTTGGCTGTCACCCCCTCCCTAGACTGGAGCTTTGTGCCCCAGTTGCCTGAGGCTCCCCCAGTTGCTTAAGTATACCCTTTCCTGAGATCTCCACCTTTGGGAGGCACTGTGGTTGAAGATTTATCTTCCTAGGGACATGTGGAAGTCTTCATGACTGTATGAGAGCCTGTAAGGTTTTACAGCCCTCAGTGTTTAGAAGGTGCATGTCACATACTGGAATGCAAGTGATAGCCTCAGTATATGTGGAGGCCATTTTATAAAATCAAATGGAGTCATGTGAAGAGTAAGAGTCCTGAAATCCTCATAAGATGTGTAGCTCAGCATGCCAAAAAAATCTAAGCCTGGGAAACAATATTTCCTTATTTTTTCTCCCTATGCTAGTGTCTAGAGCAGAGACAGGGACTCCTGAGTTCTATTCCTGATATTCGCCACTCATTGAGTGCATCTACATGAGATGGTACATAGTCATAGTGTTGAGCTGTGGTGATGTAGCTCATTGCTATGGCAACATAGTGTCAACAGACATGAGCCATGACACTGACGCTACTGTGCAGTAGGGTTGGAAACACCCCATGTGCTGCCAGGATTGTGCAGTAACAGCAGTTACTGCACAGTTGGGGGCATGTGTAGATGCACCTAGTTGCTCTTTGACCTTGTATAAAACAGCTTATCTCATTTCCTTATCAGAAAAACAGATATTAATTATATTTATTTAACAGGAGTTCCCTGATAATTAATTAGTAATTGAAAAGCATTTAAGCTCTTCAGATGTAAGGAGCTGCAGCTGTAAAAGGTCTTAACATTATATTTTATTATCAATGATTAAACTAATCAAGTATCATTGCACTTCTCCAGATCTGCTGTGAGATGTCACTTGCTTATATGTGTTGTATTCCCAGATCAGAAAAAGCTCAGTGGGGCAAAGAGGCGGGTTGTTCATACAGCGAGTTGTTCAGCTACAAAGAGAACCATTCAAACTGGTCTGTGCTTGCCAGGTAGCTGCTAGTGATCTCTGACTGCACCTTTTCACTCCTTTCAGGGAAATGTTCAGACCCAGAAGATCTGCCTGGGGGAGTCATCTCTCATTGAAGATGATTACAAAAAAAAAAAGGACCTGAAGGAGTGGGCTGGAGGAGGGGGTGGAGGTGGAGGAGCCACCTACGTCTTTAGAGTAAGTTTGCCTTTCTCTGAGCGCCCTTTTGGATAGAGTCTGACTGAAGATGTCCCTTTCAGTATTGATCATATCATACAATGCTGTCAGCTGTTAGAGGAAGTGGATGGGAGACGACTGTTTAAAACATTTAAATTCCATACCTCTTTATATGCTCATCCTCCCTTTTTTACTGTCACTGGGGCTAGTTGTACTGCCTCATCAGCACAGCCAACTCCGGTAGTAAAAGATCAGTACTGGGAATTAAACAAAAGTCTGCTGTTCAATGCTGAAACAAGTTCAGCCTCAAGAACTAGTATTCACTTGGACTCGGATCACGGTAGGCAGAGGTAGCAGTGTCATAATGAAGTCAGAAAACCATCTGTAGCATTATTCTGGACTTTGGCCAACATTTAGATGTTTTTATGCCTTTTAATGTGATGAAGCTTGTGTGTTCTCATATCTGAGGAACCAAAAGCTTATCTGGTGCCTGGTGTACTGTTTGAATGCCTCATGTAATGAATGGTCTGTATATTTGAGCAGCAGAAGGATGGGACCTTTGAACCTTTGCTGATCGCAGCAGGAGGAGGAGGGAAGGCATACCTGAAGGACCAAGACAACTTGCTGGATGATATACCCCTGGAACAGCTTGAGAACAACACAGCAGTGCCTGGAGTCAATGGGAAAACAGGGGCAGCGGGTAAGATAGCAGTACGAGGTCTAGGTTTTATGACTGAACATACAGAACTGGCCTGAGGACTTGACTTGAAGTGACACACATCACATTGATTCACATACATTTTTAGGTGGACATGATTTACAGAGACATGTGAGTGATATGTTAATGGCCATGATTTGGGGTGCACTGGCAATTCACAGGGGCCTTCTTTTCATATGGTGTAGCACCTGAGCGGACAAAATGCCACAGGGAAGGTGGGAAACTGGCAAGAGAACCTATTCCATGGGAGGAAATCTCTTATAAGAAGTGAGTCATTAAATGAAAAGAATGGGGTAATCCTGAGCCCTTCCTTGTAGCAATGTCTTGGTGAGGAGAGACAATAGAAGAGACATTAGTCCCCACCAAAACAGAGAAACAGGGATTGAACTGGAATCCCCAGTCCATACAGAAACAGAAATCCCATTCAGATTTTTCTCCTAGCAGCTAAGTTTAGAACCTATTCCTGAATGGACCGAACATCCAGTTGCAGTGGTTTTCTACATCTTCTCCAATTTCTATCCTTTGTCTAATTTGGTGAGGAAGCCTGATTTTAAATTCATTTTCTTCCCATGAACTGTACCCAGTTCTCATCTTGAAGAGATGCAAAAAGGTCCATGACAGTTTTCTTTTTATATTCCAAGTCTCTTGACAAACCAAGGTGGTGAGTGGTTATCTCCCAGGTGCTTTGTCATAGCTAGAGAAACAACAGCTAAAGGAGTTCTTAGGCTGGACTTCCATTGTGGTACTGGCAGTGGCAACAGGCTACATTCCTGGACATCCTAATTCCTCTTGTGTCCGTGTGCGTACACACACACGCACATGGACACGCACACGCACACACACTTCCTTCACTCTCATTTTCTTCTGTCCATGTTCAGTTGCCTCACTGTTTTTTAAATTTCTCTCTCTTTGTAGGAGGAGGGGGTGGCTGGCAGGATATCACCCAGGTTCCTCGGGCTGGGAAGTCCCTCCTGGAAGGTGGAGAGGGAGGTCAAGCCTGTCTCCAAGCACTAAATAAGCTTCAGTGGGCAACCTCAGGTGGTTTTGGTGGAGGAGGAGGAGCTTGTACTTCTGGTGGAGGAGGTGGAGGCTACAGAGGTGGGTCTGTTTGTTCCCTCATTTGGGGGAGGGGAGATAGAGAGACTGGGAACGTTGTTAGTTTTTTTAATGGATATTTAACCATCCCCTGTCCTGGCTTTGGCTTGTCCAGAGAGAACAGTTCATCAAATAATGATCAGTTCTATTTAAAACTAACTCATTTGCACCATATGTACCTATGAAATGAATGCTTCCACCAGCCTTGACTGGTTTTGGATGAAGGATTTCATTGTCTTGGACAATGTGAAGAGACACACTGACTTTGTTTCACTGATAAGTCATTGACATAGTATCCCAGTGCAACTCCAGATGCCTAGAGCCTGGAGCAACCAGAAGACCCTAGCACCTAACACTGATTAACATTTTCATGTAATGTACAGCTGACAAATGGTGACTCCTACCTTTTTTCCAGGTGGGCATGTGTCAGATAGCGATGAGATCACTGCTGATGGGCAGGATGGTATTTCTTTTGTCAATCCAATTGGGGAGATCTTCCTGCAACCCCTGGCAGGTAAAACACTTTCTCTGCTCTCTCACTATTGTCTCTGTCTCACCCTCACCTCCTCTCTCTTGACTGCTCTCTTCCTTCTTACCCTGTTCAAACACTCCACCATGCTTATACTTTAAGGGGCAGTTCCTCAGGTAGTGCAAGTTGTTACAGCTCCATTGACTTAAATAAATGTAAACCAGCTGAAGATCTTCCTCGTGTCTCTCTGTGAGGCAGGGAGAGGAGACAAGTCTAAAGGTTCAGCTACTTTACTGGGTCACAGATTTCCCCATTTTCCTTCACCAGTAAACCTTTATGACCCAAAGTGATCAGTAGTCAGTCATTCCTGGACTTGCTCCCTGTTGTGTTTGGCTTCCTGATTTCCTAAGTAGCAAGACTGGCACAATTGTCTTCTGCCTTTTCTTTCTACCTCTGCAAGAAGGGAGAAGATAAACTAAATCCTTCTATTTTTATTTGACTCCCCATTCAGCCATGGAGAGTCATGGTGAGGTGGATATTCAGATCTACCTGAATTGTAGCCACTGCCACTCAGGCAACTGCAAGCGGGACCTTGAGACCAATCTTCCAATCTGCATTTGTGAAATGGGCTCTGTGCTAGCCAGCGACAACGTCACCTGCACAGGTAAAAGATGGAGCTCTGTCTTCACAGAAATATCTTCCGTTTTTGTTGTATTTGCTCCCTTTCATCTTTTTTGAGAAGAAGCTACTTGTGTCGTAATAAAGATACCCCTCTTCTATCTTGCCTTCCGTTGGAGGAATTTCCAAGTACTTTTGCAAACATTAAACACGTTAATCCTCCCAGCATATCTCTAAGGAGTTGGTAAGTATTCTTTCTACAAGTGGCAGAGATTTTCAAAGGTACTTAGGTATCTAAAGATGTGGAGATGCATCCAGTGGGGTTTCAAAGGACCTAAATGGGTAAGGTACCTAATTTCTGCTCAAGTGAATTGGACTTTATCAACTAATTTGCTTAGGTGCTTTTGAAAATCGTATTAGACACTTATCTGCCCCTAGGTGTGTGAATATCTTTGAAAATCAAGCCTAGAGAGGTCAAGAAAGTTTGCCTACGGTGATATAGCAAGTGAACAATCAAGGTGGTGATGATAGAACAAATTTTTCTAGGCTGCCTTTCTCCTGCTCCACACTCTAGTATACAATGGTAGACAATGCTCAATGCATTAAAGCATTAGAGAATGCAGCAGAAGAGCTAGCTTCCGGTTCAGCTAGTTATGGACATGCTATCTGGCTGTCATAATCACTACAAGTTACAAAGCAATTTTTGTGCCTGTGGGTGACTGAAAATGGAATCCTCCCTTGAGCTTCAAAAAAAGCTTATTTACTTTAAACAAAAATGATTTATTATTTTTGAGTACCTCCTACCTCTGTGTTCCAGCAGGAAGTGGAAGGTACCATGCCCAAATAGGAAGATAGCTTGTTCTCCCAGAATTCCCAACTGGCACAGGAGCAGAAAATGGATGAAACCTTGTCCTCATTATATTCCATGGAGAAGACTTTATGCGTATTTACCTGAACTAAATCTTCTGAGTTTTGTCTCTCACTTTTGCTGGGCCTTTCCCTCAACTGGGTATAAGTGTAGCCTGTCCACTCAACTATGCTTTTTTAGACATACATGATTCATTAGATCAGTAGATGGAGAACGTTCCAGAGGGAGTACACAGGCAGAAAAATAGCCTGGACTTGAATATCTTTCTTTAGAGCTGAGGCGGGAAAACATCATCTTTCTATATCTTACACTGAAGGACGTGGAGTTGTGAGGAGTGCAAACACACACACACAGAAGCAATTGAGTTGCTTCACTCCTTGCAGTTTCAAACATTCGGTGTTGTGTAGGTTGAAAGTGTAACCTGTGTAAAAGATTATGAAACAAATTCTTCATATGAGAAAACGGTGCATTCCAAAAAAGCTTCAGCTGAAAGTTCCTCAGTGGGTTTCCATGGCAAATGATCATACTCAGGGGAGACTGCTTTATACGTAGACATGTTGGGTTAAAGGCCTTTCTGCTGTAACACCACTAAATAAAAGGGCAGGGTCACTGAAGCTGGTGGAGTTGAAGTTGATGGGAAATCCAGTGTGTTACGAGCTGGAGCTCGTAAATTGATGCGCTCTGGCAGCCTTGCACATTACGTGCATCAGTAGCGCAGCGTGCCTCCGTGCTGACAAAATTGTGGCAGTGCACTTTGGACTAAAACGTGTTCAGTGTGCTTTAGTTCAAAGCATGCTGCCGCCATTTTCTTAGCATGGGGATATACTGTGCCACTGATACACGTGGTGCATGGGCACTTCTAATTAGCACACCTCACTAATTAAAAGCGCCCAGTGCTGCATCGGGAGCATGTGTAAAAATGCCCATCAGCTCTGCAGTATCACAGCTGGAGTATTGTGTCCAGTTCTGTGCGCCCCATCTCAAGAGGGATGTGGACAACATGGAGAGGGTCCAGAGGAGGGCCACCCGCATGATCCGGGGACAACAGGGCAGACCCTACAGTGAGAGACTGTGGGACCTGAACCTATTCAGCCTCCACAAGAGAAGGCTGAGGGGGGACCTGGTGACCGTCTATAAACTGACCAGGGGGGACCAGAAGGGTTTGGGGGAGACGCTGTTTCCCCTAGCGCCCGCTGGCATAACAAGGAGTAATGGGCACAAGTTGATGGAGAGGAGGTATAGATTGGACATCCGCAAAAACTACTTCACAGTTAGGGCGGCTAGGAGCTGGAACCAACTTCCAAGGGAAGTGGTGCTGGCCCCTACCCTGGGGGTCTTTAAGAAGAGGCTGGATGCCTACCTGGCTGGACTCATTTGAGTCCCGTTTCTTGTTTTGGGGTTTTGTTGTTCTCCCGCCCTGGCGGGGGGTCGGGCTAGAAGATCTACTAGGTCCCTTCTGACCCTAAATCTATGAAACTATGAAATGTTTGTTGTCTACACATATGGCTCTATTAGGCCACAGGAAACTCTGCAGCAGGTTAGTACTTGTAAATACAAGTTCTGTCTCCAGCAGCGAGTGTCCTGTAGTGCCTGTTTCACTGATATTCGTTAATATGATCTAATAGTGTCTCTTGCAGTTCCAAAGCATGGATTTTCATAGGCAATTTCCGCTTGTGTGCAGTGTTATTTTTCTATCCGTCAGAAAACTGGAGAGCACAGTAAAGGATCTTTGCTGAATCTGCTAGAGTTTGAGAAGTAAAATGGCTATTCAATGATTTACGAATGCTTACAACATCTAGGGCTCCAATGTTATGATATTGATATAAAGGTCTTTCATCACCACCACTTTACTTCCTGGGTGAGGGAGAAGCAAGACAGAGTGGGTCTTTACCATCACGGTGGTTGCCTCCTGATTGATGTGCCCATCTTCTTTTTGCCAGTGCCTCATGGCCCCATCCCAGAGGGACACCTGCCACTCCCACTCCTCCTGGCTGTGGTTGCTGCAGTTGTGGTACTTGGAATGGCCCTCACTTGCGGCAGCCTCTCCTTCTGTAAGAAACACCTTTGTGACTTGTATTAGTTTATTTACTCCTGTCAGTATTGTAGGGATGCAGTGGGATGCTGGGGCACAAAGACAGCAACAGCTTCTGGTTGCTACCACTATTGTGATTTTGATTGCCTGGCTGCTAGCATCAGTTGCTTTTTTTTTTACCACTCCCCTCCTCCCAAGTCAACATCTGGGGCAATTGCCTCATTCACCCCACCCTAGTTATACCACTATTCCTGCTCACCCTTGCTACCCTCAGTCCGGCCTCTGCCAGACTCAAAGGTGGCCCTGCTGGGTGAACGGAACCCATCTTAGGGTTACCTTTCTGCCCGTGCTTATACATGGAGCAAAACTGTGTTGTACAGGTCAAGGGTGGCAGTTAGTGAGGATCCTTCTCTCTTTGTCAAGCTGCAAGCAGTGGCTAGGCACAATAACAGTCCCCCTGTGCCAAGATTGTTCTGTCCTTCCTATATCTGGGGAGAAAACTGCTGAGAAGGAACACTAGAACATAAGCAGCCCTTCTCCCTTCCTCCACTTTTGGAAGTAACTAATATACAAAGACTGAAGTCATGGTCACTGGTTAAAGATACCACTTATTCAGGGGGATACAATGAGCTCTATTCAACTGAGCTTCATTTGTTTTGTTTTCTTTGGTGAATACCAGCAAGTCTCTTGCTTGTTGGATCCAGAACAAGGCTCCATTTGCGTGAACAACACCCTTCATATATTCAGTCAATATGGGGAAGGCACTGCAAGGAGGAGCAGTTAGAGATGCTGGGGTTTAAGAATGTTACTTGGCTTTTATAGCTGCTGGCCCAGTTTCTGCTTGCTATTCATTGCTCTGCACTGCTGGCATTGTCTTCTCTGCTTCATCCAGATGTTGACCCTTAGTTTTATGTGATGTTCCCCACTCAGTCTATCACCGTAAGAAGCAGCAGCTGGAAGGAGCTAGAGCACGACTGCAGAGCCCAGAATACAAACTGAGCAAAATCCGCACCTCCACCATCATGACAGATTACAACCCCAACTACTGCTTTGCTGGGAAGGCCGCCACGCTGAACGAGCTGAAGGAGATCCCTCGCAAGAACATCTCCCTGCTCCGGTGAGGCTCAGTGCAGGCAGGGGCAGTTCTCTGAGTCAGGGGAGGGGGTATAATCTGAAGTGAAGGGAGGTGGAGCTTATATATTTGCCTTGCTTGATTTTATGAAAAGTGTTTGAAACATACCGTGGAAGACCCATAGTCTAGTCTGGTGCAGCCTAAATGTGGCTATCGTAAGGACTATCTCCTATACCTGTGATTTGCTGCTACGTTCACAAAGACATCATTTTGGAAAAATCTGGCCCATGTCAGCACTCGTAACCTTTTACACACAAGTCACATATTCCATGGATTTTTGCAGGCTTTCATTCAAAAAAGAGATCATCCATGTTATTTCACTCATATTTTTGATATCCTGAATTGCTGCTGCCACCTGGCTGTCCTGTCAATCCCTTTCAGGTCCACAGCAGGCAGAATTCCTTTCCGCATCAGAAAAAAACCTCATGCCACAGGAAAAACCATACTTTGCAATTCAGTTGATATCAAGACTGCATAGGGAATCCAGTGAAAATCTGTTTGGTTTGGTTTTTTTTAACCTTGTCTTCTTTAGATTTTGGTCTACAGACTTCTCTCTTTGTCTCTTACACCCTGATTCTTTATAGTCTTAATATCATCATAAATCTGTTGCTAAGACCTAGGATCCCAGGATCAGTATAGCAACCAGGCAGTCACTTTATCATCATGCAGTCGGTTATTATATTTTCAGCACTACTGGAGTTTTAGAACCCATTTGTTTAGTCACAGCACCAGTAGAGGTCAAAAAGTGACTTTGGATACTTTACAACTAGGTCAACACCAAAATGAATTGTTTTGTCTAGGATTCCATTTACCCTAAACCTGGTCCTCGCTTTTCTGATGCCAGACTTTTGGATCAAGTAATTCTTGTTCTTTCTTTTCTCTTCAGGGCATTAGGACATGGAGCATTTGGTGAGGTTTATGAGGGGACAGTGGTAGGAATCGCTGGAGATCCCAATCCACTACAGGTGGCCATCAAGGTCAGTACCTATAACTGGTAGTCCAGACTTTCCTATATGGTGGTTAATATCTGTGAGTTCTGTATTATAGATTCATAGGTGCTAGGGTCAGAAAGGACCTCAACAGATCATTGAGTCTGACCCCCTACCCTGGGCAGGAAAGAGTGCTGGGGTCAGATGACCCCAGCCAGATGCCTATCCAGCCTTCTCTTAAAGACCCCCAAGGCAGGAGAGAGCACCACCTCCCTTGG